GGTCGTAATTGATTAGAGCTGTTATGTAGATCTGTAAGAGTAAGAAACAAAATTAGTGCTGAATGATGGGGGATGGGAGGAGGTGGGGCGGTTTGAAGGAAGGTGGTACGACGAGGGGGGGGGGGGGGGGGGGGGGGAGCCTCCATGTAAAAAAAAACTTTCTTGAGTACCCCCGCACACAGGCCCTATGGTCTTATTCTTAATTCCTATCACTTGGAATTTCCTTTGTTCAATCAGGATTTGACTCCCTTGGAGAGCCATCGATTAAGGAAGCTCTATATTGAGACAGGAGAGCTCCTGCATGAGGCCGGTTAACTTCTGTTGATAATCCGGTCCATTAGAGACAAAAATGGAAAGGAAGGAAGAAAGTTAAAAAGAGTGGTCGGTTAATGAAAAAAGCTTAATTATTCAAACAAATGTCCTCAGGCTGCACGGCTCTCGAGTAGAGTTATTTATTTTCTAGTGGTACGTAGTTTGGAACTTTCTTTTCCCTCATAATCATGGGAGTGACGATCGGTCTTTTAACCATAGGGTCAGTGATCAGGGGCAGTCATCCAGGCCCTAAGATAAGGGGGGTTCCCGGTCTCAAAAAAAGTTTTTTTCGGACCTTATGGCCTCAGTTTGGTCTAAAAATAAGGGGACTCTGGGCCCCTCCCTGGATCCGCCACTGAGGGTTGTTGTACTCTAGCGACAAAACCCTACGCGTTTGAGCACAAATGTGTAAGAAACCTTTATGTGCAAGCGGTGTTGACCACATCTGCGCTTTTAGCTTCTATTTCCAACCACATATTTATTTGGGAAAATTCAATCAATTCAAACCACTCTATCGTCTCAAAGATGCTATGAGAATGATTTTTATTACCTTGATAATCTTAAAACTCCCTTACAACCAACGAGAAAAGACGTACAGACAACTGATCACATTCTCCTAAAATAGACGAAAACAACTCAAATTTTACAGTAAAAGCTTTGCAAGTCCCAACTCGCACGCCAGTTGTATTATTTATTAGCTCATACGTTTTCTGCTATCTTTTCCACATTTATTCTTTAAGATTCCAAGTCCTCTTCGCTAAGTGCTGTGGAAAAAAAAAAACAAGGAAATGGTTAGTACAACAACAAGAGTGGCCTGCGTGCAGACGTTCCCTGCTTCCTCAAAAACTGGCGTGTCTTCTGTTCGTGTTGCGGATTATTGTTGGTTCGCGGAATAGGACTCAACCGTGGTTACCGAGTTTGATGATGTACATGACTAAGTCCAAAGCAGGAAAGGCTGGGACCGGGCTAGCCTGCGTCACAGACGGAAATACAGTTCTGGTTAAGTCCGTCCGCGAAACAGCGCCGAAACTCATGTTCTGGGGTCCCGCCTGTGTACCAGGATTTGAGTACGCACCATGATTGGCCTGTTAAGAAAGCCATTGTTGATTTGCCAATCAGGTTGAGAGAAAATTTGAAACGCATTTCCGGTAATTCCTTGAGTCCGTTGAGGGGCAAAAACAAGGATATCAGTGCTGCTTAGCAGATGTTACTAACCGGGGTTAGATTACGTCTGCGACGCAGGCTAGGCCCGGACAGGTGGGATCAATTTAGGCTTCTGGGAAACTGACCACCTACCCCTCCCCTAAGCCAACATTATCACTTACTTCTCACTAAGCGAAAAAATGTTGGCTTAGGGGAGGGGTACGAGGTCAGTTGCCCAGAAACCTAAATTCGTCCGACGGGTATAAGAACGAACCAACGAAGAAAAGTGAAGAAAGAACGACTAAAAGGCTTTATGATTACGTGGAAGATGATAAATATGTTTAGTGTTTTTACTATTTTTGTTCTTATTTCTGACAACCCGCCTCGATTAACTATGCTAACTGCGGGTTGTCAATGTTTAGGATATTTTTATTTTAAAAGCGAAATAAAATGTTGTTGTTGTTGTTCTGTCGTATGTGAGCTGCGGATGAGAGTTACATTCACAAAAAAATAAAATAGGGATACAAGAAGAGGCTGGTATGATCGACTTACTCCGCAGTCTAGCGCATGCGCACTTACCACGCACAATCGGTGGGAAACACGTGCTCCATTCTTTTTTGCTGATTCCGGGTTTATGGTCGTAATCACATGACTTCAAAAAGCCCATCATGCAGTCTTCTTCCGGGATAATCATTCTGCCAATCTCGTCTTCGTCCAGTATATCATCCCCGTTTGTATCCCGCTTATTAAACTCCCACTAAAATGAAAACATTGAACCCGGTTACACAATACTGGATATGAAAACCTTGGAAGTACTTCCTTTTAACGTAGCATAGCCGGTTCATAGGATGTTTTAAAAGTGTTTAAAGTGTGATTAGCCTACGAATAAGGTCTCGTAAAGATCACCACTCCTCCATCCAAAAAAAAGGCCAAGTGATCATTCATTGGTAGCCTGTGAGCAGGCTCTCCATTTGGAGGATATAGAGTTCGCGCAGCTTGTTTAGCCATCACCAGGGCTCGCAGACTATCATCGTGGGTCCCGCACTTATCCCTTTCAGTTGACAAAACTGACCGAGAAACGTAAGGACGCTTGATCATATGTCTTATTTCAAGCTCTACTCACGCAACATCGCGTGTCCAACTCTGACTGAAACTGGAACGCAGCATTGTAAGGGGCAAATCAGAAGAAGAAAGATAAAATATCATAATCGTTGGTGGATAAATCATTNTGGGTCCCGCACTTATCCCTTTCAGTTGACAAAACTGACCGAGAAACGTAAGGACGCTTGATCATATGTCTTATTTCAAGCTCTACTCACGCAACATCGCGTGTCCAACTCTGACTGAAACTGGAACGCAGCATTGTAAGGGGCAAATCAGAAGAAGAAAGATAAAATATCATAATCGTTGGTGGATAAATCATTGATTTTGTGAAGGGCAAAAAAAAACCGCCTCCTGTTGATAACAAGTTTAGGCAGAAGTTTTGTACAGAAAAGCTAATGCACGTTGCTAAGCAGAGGGACGGACGCTAGAGGAAAAAGGGATCAAATTTACCGCAATAATTTCCTCCCGGTCCTCGTATGCCCAAGTCTCAACCTGGAAATCCGGGTACATTTCCTGCTCTCTTGCAGCTATGAGGTACGCAAGGTATCGATCGTGAAATTGGAGAAGGCGTGAGACTGAGCATGGCGCCAATTCAGTGTCTGCCAAAAAATAAAAAATAAAATTAAACAATGAAATAAAATAAAATGATCGATTTCCATCATTTGTTAGCACTTCTGCTTTCATAGATGAATACTATACAACCTACTCCAACGTGTTTTGATTGACGCGACAACCATAGTACCAACCACATTCTAAATGATAAGCGAGAGAGTTATAATGACACATTTTAAATTTAATGATTACAGGCTACCATAGCAACGTCATAACCTATAACACCCTTAACTGTAGCATCCAACGTTTGTAACTAAAAGAAAGTTCGGTAACTTCGATTTTCTAATTATTGACCTGTAATCGGCAGTGAAGAATTTCTGTCTAGTGGGTTGAGAATAGACTGCTCACAGTCAATTATCAAAGTCCATCGACGAGCCACTTTAAATTAAAGTTTCGTATATTCTCAACCGGTTGCTTCGCAATAATAAACGTGGTGTTCACAGATCTCGTTTCTAAGTTATAAGCACTTGAAATGAAAAATAAAGGTTATGCTGCCCCGTTGGAGTAGGGGGCTCAGAGTGAAGAGGCTGTCTTTGCAGCTGACTTCAGGACTACAGTTAATACGGACACTGAGAGGATATACCATAGTGTCCGTATTTATGATCCGGGTGTCCGTATTAAGCGGGCTGTCAGAAAAACGTAACCGACACCTGATTTATTGATCTTAAAGAGGAAAGAGAACGGTAGAACAAGGAAGCATGTCACACTATTTTACTACTGTTTTAAGCTATAAAATCGTTTAACCTCACAGAAACCTGTCATCATTTTAACTGAGTACAATGTTTACAATTAGCTCCTGATTGTGACAATGAAAATAGACAGTGCGCAGTTAAACCAGTGTCCGTAAAGAGGGGTTGACGACATATGAGAGTTTGTGACTCGGGACACAGAAAAGTGTCCATTGTCCGTATTACGCGGGTTAATTTTAGAAAACATTTCTGAACTTTTCGTCGAGACAAACGAAAGTATCTGTTATACACGGCCGGTGTCCGTATTAAGCGTGTGTTCGCAGAGCGAGGTCCCTCTGTAGTATACAGCTATTTCGAGAAGGGTTGTCGGAAAATGTGCACGCGACATTCCAGAAAGGTGTTTTGGGTGGTTTTGATTTCACTGTTTTTCAAAGAAAATTAAAAAAATGGCACGAGAGACCGTGGACGGTTTGTTGCGAGTGCTAAAGAAAAGCAACAAAATTAGGTTCGACAGCTACAGTGTCAAGAAAGAGTGTATTGATTATATCTTATATCACCTTTCGGGATTGTCGCGTGCACTTTTTCCAACAACCTTTCTCGACATGCGGATCTTGTTTGCTAAATACACACCTTTTAAATCGCATTTTCCCGTCTTTTCGATTCCCATCATGATGCCAATTCGACAAGCGAATTTGTGCAGTTTGCACGTGTTGTTGAATTCTCGGAGGTAGACGCTGCAGACAGGTTTGTAATCATCTGGGCACACTTCTGGGCACACACATGTCGTTGAACGATCCGTGTTTACAACACACATGCGACCTTTGGTGCAAAACACGTTATAACAGGGGTCTGAAGAGTAACAAATATGAATGTCAAAACACTTCCGTCTACTTCTTTGTTCCAGGAAAGGAACTTTAAATTTCAGAACTCCTAACTGAGGCCGAGGTAATTCAAACAGAGCTTCAATGGTTTTTAGCAAGCAGTGTTCTCAGCCCTTTCGGACAACCTCACAGCTAAACATTGTTTGATGTTAACTGCGTCAAGAAGACTTACATCTTGGACAAGAACACGTTTTATCTACTTGAAATAAACATCTTACAGGCAGATTTACGTCTATCCTAAGTTAGACTTCCCTTAGGTGGCAGGCCGCCTTCAACTAATATTTTGCATAATGCACCTACCCTTCGGTGTAGTGGTCGTCTGTGTCGCAGTCTTCATAGAAAGAAAAAAAGAAAAAGGCTTTAAGTAGTAGAAAACAATTTATAAATCATAATACTTTTATCATTATGTCACTTATTATATAGTTCACTCAAAGCGAGGCGAACTGCAAAAAATAAAACTCGTTATTTGTTACGAAACCCTTTTCCTAAAAATGACGTCAATAGAACTGCGAAGACTACTAACCGAAAATCATACGGCGTTTCGGCGGATGTTATCAAGTGTCGACCACAAAACTCATTTTTTATAAGGAAGCTAAGTTTTGCACTTAGCCTCGTCTTGAAAGTGAGAGTTTAATTCTCTCCCGCGCCACTTTCCTGTTAAAAGGATCGGGCATTACAGAGTTTGAAATTTGCCTCGTTGTTCTTCATTCATCTTCTTCCGGCTAAAATGTTAACACATACTATCAACAGAAACATCTTATAGCGGATAACTGAATTGTTTAGATTTTATTGGTGTGCGCGCTCTCCGCTGTGGGTTTTTTTTTTTTTTGGGGGGTTGTGGTTTGGCGTTTTTTTTTCTCCAAAATGATGGGGGGTGCCAATTTGTTTTTTTTTAACCCGGGGTGGGGGGGGGCATCAGCCCTCCAGATGGGGGGGGGGTATTCAAAAAAATTTCCCCCCCCCCCCCCCCCCCGGGTCCCTCCCCTGGATTCGCCAATGAGGGTTGAGGGTTCTTGTACACCAGCGACAAAACCCTACGGGTGTGGGCACAAATGCGCAAGAAACCCTTCTGTGCAAGCGGTGTTGACCACTGCGCTTTTAGCTCCTATCGCCACTTGCAAATTGAACTCAACAACCATATATTCATTTCGGACAATTCAATCAATTCAAACCACACTACCGTCTCAAAGATGCTATAATAATGATGTTTATTACCTTGATAATCTTAAAACTCCATTTCAACTAACTATAGAAGACAAAGACAACTGGTCACATTCTCCTAAAATAGACGAAAACGACTCATTCAAATTTTACAGTGAAAGCTTTGCAAGTCCCAACCCACACGCCAGTTGTATTATTTATTAGCTTATATGTTTTCCGCTATTTTTTCCACATCTATTCATTAGGATTCCACGTCCTCTTCGCTAAGTGCTGTGGAAACAAAAAAACAGCAACAAGGAAATAGTCAGTAAAATAACAAGAGTGACCTGCGTGCAGACGTTCTTTGCTTCCTCAAAAACTGGGGTGTCTTCTGTTCGTGTTGCGGATTTATTGTTGGTTCGCTTTTGCTTTTTGGAGTGGATACTGTTTAGAGTCTTTTCAGTCTTTTGTATTAATTATGTCATTTGGAGATCGCACCCGTCTGTAACACCAAAAGAACAGAGTAGGAGGCAACCGTGGTTACCGTGTTTGATGATGTAGATGACTAAGTCCAAAGCAGGAAACGCTGGAACCGGGCTAGCCTGTGTCACAGACGGAAATACGGTTCTGATTAAGTCCGTCTGCGAAACAGCGCCGAAAACCTAGTTCTAGGCCCCCACCTGTGTACCAGGATTTGAGTACGCACCATCTTTGGCCTGTTAAAAAAAAGCCATTGTAAATTTGCCAATCAGGTTGAGAGGAAATTTGAAACGCATTTCCGGTAATTCCGTTGGGGGGCGAGAACAAGGATATCAGCGCTGCTTCGCAGACGTTACTGACCGGGGTTAGATTACATCTGCGACGCAGGCTAGGCCCGGACGGGTAGGATCAATTTAGGTTTCTGGGAAACTGCCCACCTACCCCTCCCCTAAGCCAACAGTATCACTTACTTCTCACTTAGGGCAAAATGTTGGCTTAGGGGAGGGGTAGGTGGTCAGTTTCCCACTAACCTAAATTGATCCGACGGGTATAAGAACGAACCAACGAAGAAAAGTCAATAAAGAACGACTAAAAGGCTGTATGATTAGGTAGAAGATTATAAACATATTTACTTGGCTCTTTTTCTTTTAGCTGTATAGTTCTAAGGCGACTGTTAATTTTTGTTCTTATTTCTGATAACCCGCCTCGATTGGCTATGCTAACTGCGGATTGTCAATGTTTGAAATGTCGTTCTTTTAAAAACAACAGAAAATGTTGTTGTTGTTGTTCTGTCGTATGTGAGCTGCGGGTGACAGTTACTTTAAAAAAAAAAAAGAAAATAGGGATACAAGTAGAGGCTGATATGATCGACTTACTCTGCAGTCTAGCGCATGCGCACTTACCACGCACAATCGGTGGGAAACACGTGCTCCATTCTTTTTTGCTAATCCCGGGTTTATGGTCGTAATCACATGACTTCAAAAAGCCCATCATGCAGTCTTCAGCCGGGATAATCATTCTGCCAATCTCGTCTTCGTCCAGTATACCATCCCCGTTTGTATCCCGGTTATTAAACTCCCACTAAAATGAAAACATTGATCCCGGTTACACAATACTGATACTGGATATGAAAACCTTGGAAGAACTTCCTTTTAACGCAGCATAGCCGGTTCATAGGATGTTTTTAAAGTGTTTAAAGTGTGATTAGCCTACGAACAAGGTCTCGTAAAGGTCACCACTCCTCCATTCAAAAAAAAGGCCAAGTGATCATTCATTGGTAGCCTGTGAGCAGGCTCTCCATTTGGTGAATATAGAGTTCACGCAGCTTGTTTAGCCATCACCAGGGCTCGCAGACTATCATCGTGGGTCCCGCACTTATCCCGTGTAGTTGACAAAACTGACCGAGAAACGACGCTTGATCTTATGTCTTATTTCAAGCTCTACTCACGCAACATCGCGTGTCCAACTCTGACTGAAACTGGAACGCAGCATTGTAAGGGGCAAATCAGAAGAAGAAAGATAAAATATCATAATCGTTGGTGGATAAATCATTGATTTTGTGAAGGGCAAAAAAACCGCCTCCTGTTGATAACAAGTTTAGGCAGAAGTTTTGTACAGAAAAGCAAATGCAAGTTGCTAAGCAGAGGGACGGACGCTAGAGGAAAAAGGGATCAAATTTACCGCAATAATTTCCTCCCGGTCCTCGTATGCCCAAGTCTCAACCTGGAAATCTGGGTACATTTCCTGCTCTCTTGCAGCTATGAGGTACGCAAGGTATCGATCGTGAAATTGAAGAAGGCGTGAGACTGAGCATGGCGCCAATTCAGTGTCTGCCAAAAAGATAAAAATAGAATAAAATAATGAAATAAAATAAAATGATCGATTTCCATCATTTGTTAGCACTTCTACTTTTATAGATGAATACTATACAACCCACTCCAGCGTGTTTTGATTGACGCGACAACCATAGTACCAACCAAATTCTAAATGATAAGCGACAGAGTTATAATCACACATTTTAAATTTAATTATTACAGGCTACCATAGCAACGTCATAACCTATAACACCCTTAACTGTAGCATCCAACGCTTATAACTAAAAGAAAGTTCGGTAACTTCGATTTTCTAATTATTGACCTGTAATCGGCAGTGAAGAATTTCTATCTAGTGGGCTGAGAATAGACTGCTCACAGTCAATTATCAAAGTCCATCAACGAGCCACTTTAAATTAAAGTTTCGTATATTCTCAACCGGTTGCTTCGCAATAATAAACGTGGTGTTCACAGATCTCGTTTCTAAGTTATAAGCACTTGACATGAAAAATAAAGGTTATGCTGCCCCGTTGGAGTAGGGGGCTCAGAGTGAAAAGGCTGTCTTTGCAGCTGACTTCAGGACTACAGTGGAACCCGGTTAATACGGACACTGATAGGATATACCATAGTGTCCGTATTTATGATTCGGGTGTCCGTATTAAGCGGGCTGTCAGAAAAACGTGACAGACACCTGATTTATTGATCTTAAAGAGGAAAGAGAACGGTAGGACAAGGAAGCATGTCACACTATTTTGCTACAGTTTTAAGTTATAAACAGTATAAAGTCGTATAAACTCAAAGAAATCTGTCTTCATTTTAAAAGTGAGTACAATGTCCACAATTGACATTGTGACACACAAAACACATTGTGACAATGAAAATAGAAAGTGCGCAGTTAAACCAGTGTCCGTAAAGAGGGGTTGACGATATATGAGAGTTTGTGACTCGGAACACAGAAAAGTATCTATTGTCCGTATTATGGGGGTTAATTTTAGAAAAAATATATGAGCTTTTCGTCGAGACAAACGAAAGTATCTGTTGTACACGGGTGTCCGTATTAAGTGGGAGTCCGCAGAGCGGGGTCCCACTGTAGTATACAGCTATTTCGAGAAGGGTTGTCGGAAAAAAGTGCCCGCGACAATCCAGAAACGTGTTGTGGGTGGTTTTCAGTTCACTGATGATTTTCAAAGAAATTTGAAAGAACGGCACGAGAGACCGTGGACAGTTTGTTGCGAGTGCTGAAGAAAAGCAACAAAAGTAGGTTCGACAGTTACAGTTTCAAGAAACAGTGTATTGATTATATCCTATAATTATTACCTTTCGGGATTGTCACTTGCACTTTTTCCGACAACCTTTCTCGACATGCGGATCTTGTTTGCTAAATACACACCTTTTAAATCGCATTTTCCCGTCTTTTCGATTCCCATCATGATGCCAATTCGACAAGCGAACTTGTGCAGTTTGCAAGTGTTGTTGAATTCTCGGAGGTAGACGCTGCAGACAGGTTTGTAATCATCTGGGCACACTTCTGGGCACACACATGTCGTTGAACGATCCGTGTTTACAACACACATGCGGCCTTTGGTGCAAAACACGTTATAACAGGGGTCTGAAGAGTAAAAAATATGAATGTCAAACCACTTCCGTCTACTTCTTTGTTCCAGGAACGGAACTTTAAATTTCAGAACTCCTAACTGAGGCCGTGGTGATTCAAACAGAGTTTCAATGGTTTTTAACAAGCAGTGTTCTCAGCCCTTTTGGACGACCTCACAGCTAAACATTGTTTGGTGTTAACAGCGTCAAGAAGGCTTAAAACTTGGACAAGAACACGTTTTATTTACTTGAAATAAACATCTTACAGGCAGATTTAGGTCTATCCTAAGTTCCCGGCATAGTAAATCGAACG